CTGACTGAGCTATCACTACTGTCATCCCCCAGGTGCTTCCCCTGCCCCAGAGGCAGCTGCACCTGAACAAGTCTATCCGGTATTACTGGCACTCGGGGGAAATAAATGCATTTTAGAGAAATATTTTTTTGAGGTTGGGTCAACAAAGGCCTTTCCTCTGGTCTGTACAAGCCTCTACCCTGATCTGCTTGTAGTCCCAGTACCTCCAACTCTGCCTTTCATGAGAGTTGTGGTGCACTGATCTCACTGATTAACCCCTCCCCCCACTCCAGGACTGGCAGCCCCCATTTGCAGTGGAGGTCGATAACTTCCGGTTTACCCCACGCATCCAGAGACTCAATGAGCTGGAGGTGAGTCAGGCAGGGAAGGGAGGACTCCCAGGAAGCCCAGGCTAGGTATGGGGATGAGAGAACTGGGGGACATTTCCTTAGCTGCTCCACCCCAGAGCTGGCTGCATTTCAACCCTTCACAGGAGACCCCCTTCCCCAACCCCGTGAGCTACTGGGCAGAGGCTGTGGGGGCTCCCGCAGAGGCTCACCCTGTTCCATCTCACCTGCCAGGCCCAAACCCGAGTGAAGCTCAACTACCTGGACCAGATCGCCAAGTTTTGGGAGATCCAGGGCTCCTCGCTCAAGATCCCCAACGTGGAGCGGCGCATCCTTGACCTGTACAGCCTCAGCAAGGTAGGGCAGCTGTCGGCACCAGGGTGTGGGTGTTGGCACCAGGGTGTGGGTGTGGGTGTTGGACTGCGAGTCAGGAGTGTGGAGCCACAGCTGGGTTTGTGCGGAGTGTGGCTGTAGGTTGGGTGTGAGGGGCCTTGCTGAGCTTGTGTGGGGGGTGCTGTGGATTGGGTGTGAGGGGCCCCAGCTAGGTTTGGGAGGGGCAGGGGGCTGTGGATTGGGTGTGAGGGGCCCTGGCTGGGCCAGGGGAGGGGGGAGGCGAGGAGGGGCAGGGACTGCAGAGTAGGTTTGCTGGGTCCCACTGGGCTGGGCAGGACAGTCCTGAATGGGCCTCCTGCAGGTGGTACTGGAGGAAGGCGGCTATGAGTCCATCTGCAAGGACAGGCGCTGGGCACGGGTGGCACAGCGCCTGGCCTACCCCTCGGGCAAGAATATTGGGTCCCTGCTGCGTGCTCACTATGAGCGCATTATCTACCCCTATGAGATGTACCAGTCTGGCGCCAACCTCGTGGTGAGCTGCCCAGCAATGGGCTTTGTTCCTCTGTTGTGGGGGGCGGGGGAGGAGTTATGCCTGGGATGTTAGGGTTCATCTTGCTGGGGAAGGTTTTGCCACATACTGGGATTCCTCTCTTGTGGGGCAGGGAGGACTTGCCCAGATGCTGGGATTCCTCTTGCTGGGCGGGGGGTTAGACACCAGAGTTCCTTTCCTTGCAGGGTTGAGGGGCCCTACTCAGATGCTAGGGTTCCTCTCATTTGAGGGGAACCTGTCTGGACACCAGGGTTGCTCTTCTGGATTCTGGGGTTCCCCTTGCTGTTGAGGGGGAGGGAGCCTGCTTGGAAGCTGGGGTTCTTCCTGCTGGGGGAAGGGGGCCATGCCTGGACACTGGGGTTTTTGTCTGGGGGCCTGCCCACCACTCACAGCCACCCACATCTGGCAGTGCACGGCGCGTCCCTTCGAGAGTGAGGAGAAGGATAAGGAGTACAAGCCTCACAGCATCCCGCTTCGCCAGGCTGTCCAGCCCTCCAAGCTCAACACTTATGGGCGCCGTGCTAAGCGCCTCCAGCAGGATGTGAGTGCAAGGCCAGACACCGCAGTGGGTTATCTGGGAGGGGTGGGGCTGGGAGGCCAAACAACAGAGTTCCTAGGAGAATTACAGTAGCCATGGGGGCCCGGACACCTGGGTTCTCTAACAGAGTCTTGGCAGGGAGAGGCCAGGATGTCTGGGTTCTCTAGGAGAGATCAGGAACTTGAACACCTGGGTTCTATAGGCAGGCCAGGAGCCAGGATGCCTGGGCTTATTGGAAAGGGAGTGGAGCTCAGTGGGAGCTGGAACACCTGCGTTCCTTCCCTGCCCTGAGAGGGGAATGAAGGGACTAGTGGGTTAGAACAGAGGTCGGAGGTGGGCCACAGACCCGGATGCCTTGGTTCTTCCACCTGCCATGCTGCTAGCTTTATTACTGGTGCT